CCGCACTGCGTCTCAAATAGTCCATTTCGAGTGCATTCAAAGCTCGCTTTTGTTCAGCGTTTAAGGTCCAAACTTCACACCCATAAGTTACTACCGACTCCACTAGGGCTCTTCCAATATGTACTTTTGTGTTTGGTCTTATGTTTTTGTCCCACCAGATGCCATTCAGTGCTCCTATAATCTTCCGCCCTTGTTCTATTCTAGCCGATACTTCTGTTTTGTCCAGTCCCTTTTTGGTTATACGTGCCCCCAAATATTTAAACCATTCAACCTGTCTGAGCTTTACATTGTCAGTAATAAAAATGTCAAATTTATCATCTGAATTGGTCACTAGATATTCCGTTTTATCAATGTTCACAGTAAGGCCCCATTCCGTGTATGCCGAATTTAATCTGCTCATCATGAATTCAAGGTCGTAAGCAGCTTGAGCTATGACCACCTGATCATCGGGAAAATTCAATGTAACCAAACAGTCATCTCCTACAGGGATGCCCATTCCCCCACACCTCTTCTTCCAATCCCTAAGAACCACTTCCAAATACAGATTAAATAAAAGAGGCGACAGAGGACATCCCTGTCGAAGGCCTTTGGTCGTAAAAATTACTTCAGACAGTCGGTTACCGCTCTTAACATGAGCTGTGTTGTTGTTGTATAGCACCTTAATTAAATTTATGCGACATTCATCCACATCAAGTTGTTCCAGTATATACCATAGTTTAACTCTGGGGATGGAGTCGTAAGCTTTTTGAAGGTCTACAAAAGCTAGATGTGTATCTTCTTCACGTGAATTCCGTTTTTCGATCAGTTGTTGGATAGTAAATAGATTATCTATACATGAACGCCCTGCAGTAAAGCCACTCTGCTCTTCACTGATTTTGTTGTAAGCAGATATTTCTAATTTATTTCTAATTATTTTTGTAAGAAGTCTGCTGAAGGTGCAATTCACACTAAGACCTCTGTAGTTATTCGGGTCTTTTCTGTTCCCTTTTTTATATATAGAAGTGATATAGACTAACTTCCATTCATTAGGTATTTTAGGATTCAGATTATGCAAGATTTAAATAATTGCAATTTCTCTAAGCCGGGTCACTGATGGCGACGGCGACAACCGGCAAACCAAGAAGTAAGGTTAAAGCGCAGAGAGACGCCCTGAAACGATGTTGACAGCCCTCCACAGAAGCAGTGAAACAAAAACAGGGTTGCCGACTAGAGGACGTTAAAACTACGTCAAGCGTTTCAAATTATCAGGCCTGAGCGATACGGAATCCGGTGACGATACGCCAGACATCATATATCATATACAAAAGACATGTAACGAACTAAAAACGTTACAGTATAACGACTGAAATGGACAATCAGATTAAAAAAGCCTCAAGATACGTACAAAAAAGCCTAAGATATGTAGAAATATATACATGACACAGAGCAAGCAACGGATTTATAAGACCTTTACCTTATAGTGACTTACCCTGCTGAAACAAGAGCAGAAAGATAAGAAACAAATAGGAGAGTGAAAATAATAGAGATGAAAATATTACGGACAATAAACGAAAACACAATAATGTACAAAAGAATACGCAACGTAGAGCGTAGAAACACTAAGAGTATTGGGAGTACAGAATGTTGTCAGATGGGCAAAGCGCCGCTGTTAGAAAAACCACGTAGAAAGGCTGGATACAGATAGAATTGCCAAGTGGTCACACCAAGTCAAACACACTAACACAGTAATTGTAATAGGACGAGGTTCCTTTTCTATTACAAAAATAAAGTGAAGAAGAAAATGACAGCTGTCTTAATCCTTAAGCCAATTATATAGTCGTTTTTTTTTCGATCGTATGGTATATAATATGTTCATGCTTAGTACATTATTGCTAAGTCTGTAAATGGCTTCCAAATGCAATCCTAGACATTTTTATAGACTTGGATTTTGTGTACACCTACGGAGATTCGGCAATCATGTAAAAGTAGCTATTAGATAAAAAAATAATTGATAAAAAATAACAAACCTTTACATTATTCCAAATCGATTTATTGATCCGGAAACAAAGGATCTCCATTGCCCGTATATAAATCATTTTGTTTCGAAATAGTTGTAGGATGATTTCGGGATAATTCTAAGCGATAACCGAAGAACAAAAAAAGGCGAACGAAGAAACGCCACAATAATAATCGAATATTCGAGTTTCGTAACCGTAACGCCGCCGATCACGTTTCGGTCATTTTTCTAGTCGCCAAACAATGAACTATGCACCACGCCACCCATTGTGACTAACCTATAAATAGCGCGGTTCGCAATGCATTATTTATTCGTCGGTTCGATTGTGACGGTCGGATAGGCGAAAAAATCGCCAAAACAATAGCAGACGGGGATAAGCGATAACAAAAAAGGCGACCTACGACGACAGACATCATCACCACCTAAATGTGCCGGCGGTTTCGTTTATTGCGATAACTCGAATTAGATACGAGCATTGTCACACATCCATATTCTAAATAGAAATTGATAATCACTTTTAATAACACAATATGTTTGCACATGCAAATTGATATAAACAACGTTACACATAATCATCATCATCTGCCATGTGCATTGCTGTTTTCTTTCTATACCATGTAAACTTTTATAGGAAGGGGTTTATCGTAAGACTATAAAAGCTCAGGACATTTATTATAATGGGAGGCTAGCCAAATCCGGTTATGTTGCTAAAGAGACTTTGGGGCTATTGTAAATGACTTAACAAGACTTCTTCGTCTGGCACACTCTTTAATTCACCTGAAGATTTAAACACTTACTCTGTTAATGTGGCTAAAAAATTTAGTGAACACCATAACTCCTTCTCATGATTCACTTTCATATCTCCCTAGAGAGAGAATTTACACAGTTTCTTCTTCACGCCCATAGCATTAGATGAGCTCCGCAGTACAATTAAAAGTATTGAAAATAAATTCTCATCTGGGACTGATGGGCTTACTCACAAAATGTTCTCTGAACTTCCTGAATGCACATTAATCTATCATACTGCTTTAATTAATGAGTCATTCCAAAAAGGAGTTTTTCCAAGCTGCTTTTAAGACAGCACACACTATTCCTCTGCAAGGAGGAGATAAAGATCAAGCTTGGAACTATCGCCCAATTGCACTCAACGCTATCTAAGATCATTGAAAGATTGGCTAAAAAAAGGCTTCTATCTTTCTCCTTAAATATAAAGTAATTTCTACCCACCAATTTGGATTTCTAAGCAACAGTTGCACAAATGATGCTATGTTCGACCTTTTAATAATGTATACTCTAGTCTGAATAACCATCACTTTACAGCTACAATTTTCTGTGATTTCTATAAGGCTTTCGACTGTGTAAACTGCAATATCTTAATTAAAAATTGCAAAACTATGGATCTAGGGGAGTGCTGCTCGAATGGCTTAAGTCGTATCTTGGCAACAGAAGGCAGTTTGTGAGGGACTGGATACGTCTATGTCTTCTTGTAAGCCCATAGAATGTGGTGTCCCTCAGGGTTCAGTATTTGACCCTATTTTATTTCTGGTATTTATCAACGACATTGCAAATCTAGACATTATCGGTAAAATCTGCCTCTTATTGCGGACGATACTAGTTTCAATTGGAACGGCCTATAGGCGTTAAGGAAAAACTATATATGATACCTTATATCCAGTGGACTTTACGCAATTCATTAAATCTTGGTGTGATTCTAATCTCCTATGCCTCAACCTTCAAAATCCAAAGTTTTATTAAGTATAAAGTACTATACAACCTTTGTACTTAATAACACCACTATTGATATCGTGGACTATGTGAAATTCTTAGGACCTGTTGTAGACAACTCCCCTTTAAAATGGGACTCTGCACATCAGGCCTTCATTTCAAAAAAACTAAGCTCTGCCTGTTTTGCGTTAAGATCAGTGTCTAAGGAACTTAACCCATCAACCTCTAAAATGGTCTATTATACCTTTTGAGTCACATCTTTGCTATGCCCTTCCATTCTAAGGTACTTGCTGCGCAACAAAAAAAATTTGATCGTATTTTCAAACTCCAAAAGAGAGCAGTTCGATACCTATTGACCCAAACAGTAGAATCCACTGCCAGAATTTCTTAAAAATTTCTAAAATAATTGACTCCTTCCTTCCTATTCATTTTTGAATCCGACTGCTTAATCCGCAAGCAAATAAATATCTGCTGTTTCCGAAAGCCCATCTCATAACTATCCACTTAGAAATGCGGAGCAAGATCTTTATACCTACCCCACGCTCAAAAGTTCAATATTATACAAAAAAAAAAAAAAAAAAAAAAAAAAAATGTACAATCATTTGCCTTGGAATATCAAGTCACTTTCATTCTTTCCTGCATTTCTCAAAGCTCTGAAAACTTTCATACCTTCCTACCTGGAGAGAGCCTTATATGCGGTAAACGACATTTTGTTGATGTTTAATCATGAACAATTTAGAATTTTAATTTTAATATTTTGATCATCTCACACACTGGTTAAAGGTCTAGTATTTCACATTTTATAACTCTTTGATTTTATGTTATAACATGATTTCCAACCCATTTACAGTTTTCCTTGTGTAAAACTCTTCTAGATAATGCCCAGGTTCTTCAATGTCCATATATGTTTCATTTGTAATTTTATGACGTAATTTTTTTTTTGAATTGATTTGTATTGTATGACATTTTTTGTATAAATTGTATATTTGTTTTTGTGCTTTTTTTGTTTTGCTTTGTCGATGAAGCTGTTTTGGCTTTTTGTACAATAAAGCGTTGTTTTTTTTTCAATACCGATGTTCTGAGAACGGGGCTTCCCGACAATTTCTTTCGATATATTTATTGACATATCGAAACAAAATATTGATATAAATATATCGATATATTTTAGAAAATATATCGATATATCCAATATATCGATATATCGTAGCCATCCCTATATATACCGTGACGTCACCTGCGAATCAAAATCCGACAGCCGACAGTTGACAGCTGCGTGACAGCTGCATTCTGCATTTGAGGGGAATAGGGGAACGGTTTTTGTTTTTATCTGGATCTGGACATGATCTGGACTGTGATCTGGACTTTATCTGGTTATTGATCAAGGTTATTATTTATTATCGTGGTTTTTTTGCTTAATTTACCTGTTTTTATATAGTGAGTTTTGTTAGTATTTTCCGTAATTAATTTTCTAGTATTTAGTTCGATTGATTTTAGGTGCTAGGCTAGGTATTAATTTATTTTAAAAGCTTAAAAAAAATAAGAAATGCCTGGGTGTGGGGTGGCTACTTTGGGCTACTTGCAACAACACAAATCGGAAAACGATTGGACAACAAACAAATCGGAAACGTGGATAATTGCCTGCCGGCGAGACGATAAAATAAATCTAAAAAATGGTGAGCTTACATTTTGAATCACTTAATTTGAGGACTACACAAACAAAAAACAAGTTATATTTAGGGATATCCTTATCCTACTCAATTTTTTGTTTATAATAATTATTGAGTATCATTGTGAATAATTCTAAATAGAATACAATGTGTGTGACACATATATAGAGTTCATTTATTTTAGCTTGTGTCTACTCCATACATTTTGATGCTGAGTGCTTTGAAATTCCAATAAAATAAAGGTTGCTACGATACAGTCCAAAAACTGGTAGCTACTTAAAACTTGACGCTGTGCCAGTATTAAATCTTCCTTCTTCATCTCATAAACCTAGGACTACTGCAAGATCTGGTAGAATTACTAAAAGAAGGCAATATAACACAGTGACGGAGATATTAAAGGAATTATTTGAGACTCAGCCTTTAACTTCATATGAAGAACCTTATTTGTAATCTTCAACTAATAAAGAAAACCAAGCATCTGGTAACCAAATCTGCATCTGGAATTAACCAAAACAAAAGAGACTAGTCTTACTGTGAAAACCCCCAGCAGAATTAATAATACTGAGTAAGATTAACTTTGTATATTTAAAGCAGTTTAAATGAAACAAAATATACTTTTTAGGTCAAATGAACTTGATCAGTTTAGAGACAAAATTAAAATGTTAGAGAAACAAAATAAAGAGCTACAAGAACAGGTTAGGGTAATGAAGTATACTCTTCAGAAGTATGAAAATGCATTAGGTATAGTTTTTACACCAGGCCAAATAAAAAAATTGCTTCATTTGGAGAAAGGAATAAAAGTCCATTGGTCACCAGATGTAAATAAATTGTTAAAGTAGTTAGATGAGTATCCATTTTCATTTTATATTATTACTCGAAAATGTTCTTTTGTAAATTTATTATATGTTAAATTGGGGGTGCAAGGGGTATTGAAGGGATATACAGAGTGTCCCAGGCTGAGTGGGCATTAGAAGTTGCTAGAGAACTAAAATATTTAGATTGGAGATTTTTTGCACATCACTGTTTTACAACAAGATCAATTTTATGACAAATTTAGTGATTGCCAATTTCCACAGCCACTGTAGAATAAAGAGAAGACATGTGGCTCTCTATTTCAAAAATTAAATTGTTTGAATGTCATATAATATTGGCTGCAGCTGTCATGGAATTGAGCGATTAGAAAATTACCATAAATCCTTTTTTTGAAACGGAAACCCAATTTTTTTATTTCACTAATGAAAAGGTTTTTTAATTTACTTTTTTATTATACATGTTCCTATACCTAAAATAAATTGTTTTTTAAGTTATTTTTAGTTTTAAAGGCTTTATTTTTTAGTTTTTTAACCAGTTGCTTATTACTCTAAACGTCACGCGATGTAAATCTATATCTGGCCATGTCATATTGCCATTAGCTATCACTAATATACGATATATATTTTTATAAATACTCTTTATAAAGTTTTACCAGCAGTATTTATAATATACGAAATTTAAATAGGTAGTGTTTTGGCAGAAGGAAAATTGTTTGATGATTTGACATTTAATGTCACAGGAAGCTAGATAAAATCAAGAAAAAAATATGCTTTAAAACTAAATCTTAAATAACTTGAAAACGATTTATTTTAGGTATAGGGAAATGCATAATCAAAAAGTATTGAATTAAAAAACCTTTTCACTAGTAAAATAAAAAAAATTGGGTTTCCATTTGAAAAAAAAATTATTTATGGAAATTTTTTAATTTAATTTAATATTATATGACATTCGAACAATATAATTTTTGAAATAAATTGCCACGTGTCTTCTCTTTATTTGACAGTGGCTGTGGTAATCACTATGTCGTAGTCTCATAAGTGTATTCCGTATTTTCATGAAGAGCCTAGTCACTTAATGAAAAAAACTAACCTAACAACATAACTAGCCTGCTAACCCACAAGCATCTCAAAAGAGAAACGATTCCATCGACGTTGCCAGATTTACGAACTTTACTTTGAAAATTATTGGCGCCCTCTAGAGCACTTTCTGACTATACTAAAGCGGGAAATTTAAAACAGATTTGATGATTTCGTAGATACACTTATATAGTAATCGTCGTTCGATACTCAGATTACGGCTTCGTAACAAAAAAAGAAACTAAACTAACGAACTATTTAGAAACAGATTGTTCTATGAAATAAATAATATTTCCAACTAAGTATTTTAACCATTATGTAATTGCTATCACGAACAAAATTAAAATTATAAAGAGAAACAATCAGAATACTTAATAATATTTTTATTATTTTAAACACTAAAATGCATTGTAAAAAATATTTTATTTACTTAAAAAAATATGACAAAAAATATAAAGACGTAACTAGTATAATTTTTATCAGCAATCAAAATATTATATGTGTATTATATGTACATATATCTTGAAGTATTCTTTGATTCTAAATAAGTCTAGAACGTAGCCAATAGTATGCAAATTGTACCTAAAAAATTCACATATCTAATTAATTATATAATTATTCTGCTTTTATATATTGCTCAGCTTTTCAACCGAACAAGTTTCCAACATATAAATATAGCTATGTGCAACAATGGTTATATTAGGTATATTTATTGGGTAAATAAATATATACCTGGGATAGGCATATATAAAAATGGATATCTGTGATAACTAATTATTCTAAACCTCAAATTTGGTATAATATATACTACATAGTAAAAAAATGCATATTTTATAGATATACTCTCCATTTTATATTAATGACCCATCATTTTCTGACCCACATCTGAAATTTGGTATAAATTTTGTATTACAAAAAAGTGATTTATTAGATAGAAATACTTCCTTTTTTAAAATATACACTTATTTTGTATCTACATTCCATAAATCTTGAAGTATGATATAATTCTATACCAAAAATGTGTTAGCAAAAATTAAATAATATTCTCCACTTTTATTAGATATAAATACATCACTTTGTGGCTGAAATTTCATTAACTTGAATCTAAAACTTGGTATAATATAAAAAAAATATGATTTATTAGACAGATATACTCTCCATTTTTTAGATTAATCATTTTGTGGTTATATATAACGATCCATGAATCTGAACCTGAAACTGAGTATAAATGTATAACAGAAACTTAATTTTATTAGATATACTCTCCTTTACTATCACAATTTCTAGAGATGAGCGGGGCATGTATGAAATTAAAATATTAACAAAACTGAAAGATTGTGAATCAGTTTCTCAATTGCTGAATGATCCTTTTAACATTTATATATCAATTATGGGGTATCTTTTTGGATACTTAATATTACATACTGAATTAAGTATACACTTAAAAGAGTACTTACTTCAAAATCTCATGACGTTGCAAAATAACATTGCAATGTCAAGACCTATGTTCATAGTTAAAATAAAAAAGCACGGTATATATTATATTATTATATGGTTACATATTTGTGCTATACTTTATATGTATGTTTAAAAAAGTGAAGCTAAAAGAAATTAAATTAATTCACACTTCTACAATAATCGTGGTCTATAGCTTGATCATTAGAAATAAATTCACATTTTCCATGAATAAAATTCTTAATAAATTTGGTTTCATCTTTATCTGGCTTGGAAATTTTAGTCTTTTTCAATGTACGCTTTTTCTTTGTGGAAAAGAACCTAATTTGTTTTTCAATTTTCTTATTAGCTGGTTCTGCTTCAGATTTAGGTAGCTTGGTAAAATTTATATTATTTGAAGTAGTGGCCTCAATAAAACTATTTTCTTTTTTCAAGCAACTTGCAACATGTTTTAAGAGAGTTCTGTTTGGATTTTTTAACAGGTTATTCTGTAGTTTTAACGTTTCAGAGGATATTATTTGCATTAATGTATCATTGCTTTGATAGGACTGCTCCCCTTTAAGACTATTTATATATTCTGTTAGAGATGCTCCAGGATTTTCAGTACTTTTATGTTGAAGCAAATTATTTTTTTTAATTATTATCACATGAATATGCTTGCAAATAGTATGTTGTATTAGAAAATCTGGGCAAGTGCAACTATAGGAATGAATACATATATCACACTGTGAGCATATTAGGCTGCAACAATTTTCAACTTCATTTTTACAAACTATATAATTACTGTCTAACTCTGAACAACTAGATACAGACCATTTATAGGTAGCACTATCATTTTCATCTATAATATCTCTAACTTCACAATTACTTTTTACTGCAATATCATGTCTTGATTTAATTGTTTTTAAATGGATTGAATTTTTGCCTTTAATTTTCTTGATTACTCTTTCGAGTGCTTTATCTCTAATAAACAAATTTAAAGCATTTAAACATTTATCTAATCTTTTTACCTTTTTGCCGTCTAAATATATATGTTTTAACACTTTGTGCATATTTTCTAAACGCATATTAGTATTAATTCCACAATTTAAGCGATAGCAATATGCCCATTGCATATAATTTGATAAATAATTTCCTGCAAAATATTGTCCAAAATTAACAGTTGCTTCATTCTTACCCCAATCATTTATACTCTTTGTTAATAATTCATGAAATTCTTCTTTAGAATTTGTTGTCTGTAATACTTTTAACGACTGATAGACTAAAGTTTTAAGTTCTGGTGAATTTACTTTACTTAAATTAGAACGCCATGCACGATCTACGTGCCATGCACAATATAGTTGTGATGGCACTTCACCCATTTCTTGTTTCCAAGCATTATAAAAGACATGTGTAATATCAGACATAAAAACCTTTGGTTTTAAAATACCAATATTATCTCTAATATTTTTAAACAGCAATTGAAAAACTAATGTATCTTTACGGTTTGTTAACATACATGCTCCAGGAAATCCTTCACCCCACTCATCCACCACTAAAAGTGTTGTTAGTTCAAAATCGTAAGCATTCATTCCATGAGTACTGTCTATTGCAACTATGTTTTCCGCAAACATTTTCAATATGTCTTGTTGCACTCTGTTCATTATAATGATGCAAAAATCCTCCTTTTTTAAAACACCTTCATTTTCAACTCCCTGTGGTTTATAAAATATTATAGGATTGCTTTCCAGGTTTGAACATTCCTGAACAAACATATCTACACTAACAGCATCTAATAATAAATAATAATAATTAGCTATTTTTATATAGGTAGGCTTTGGAAAATATATACAAACCTTCTGTATGTCTTACACCCTCATATATTTCAATATTGAATGAACGTTTAATATTATGTATATCACTACGTCTTAATAAATTAGTTCTGTTAAGGTTTTCAGGATTAAAGTTATCCCTATTCATACTAAGAATTCTAAAAAACATAATAATGTGATTAATAGAAACCTTATTATATCGTAGGCATTTCTGTGTACTTACTGACTTATACTAATGCCACTTGCAAGTTTCTGAGCAATATCAGCCTTTTCAGTCTTGGGTAATCTTAAATGTTGTATTTCAGAATCATGTCCATAATGTGATTTTAAAAACGTAGCAGAAACCTTCAATGTGCTCTTATTAGAAACAACCTTGATTTCACTTGTGCAACTTCTATTCAGTTTACATGACCCTGTTAGCTTAATTGCTCTTTGACGAGGCACTGATGGTTTTATATAATTTCCTATAAATATTTTATATCAATTATCTGACATAATTTTTGATTAGATTAATATATTTCAGTAAAAGCTAAATAGACTCCACACCACACCAATACTACATATAAAGTACATAATCTGATTTCCAAACACCAGTAATTAAAAATACATATGAATTTATGTTTATATTTATATCTAGTGTGTCCTTAATGTCAGCTGTCGAAATCTACCCTGACTCATTGGACAGACTTTAGATACACATATATTCTCATAATATATCAACCTTAAGCCACAATAAGCACCCAACGTAAGCAATACTGACTCATTGAAGAGACTGTAGATATAGACGTATATTCCTGTAACCTATCAACCTTAAACCACAACAGGTACCCAATATAAGCGATATAGATTTATCTCTGCTTGCACCACCCATTCATATTTTTTTTTAATACATACTATAATGTAAACTGTAGATTTCTTGGTTGTGTCCTCATCCATATAGACTTATGTAACAAGAAATGGTACATAAAGTTATGACTGACTTATCAGCAAAATATTGTATATGTCCTTATTATAAATGATCTTTAATTATAAGTAAATTTCGGCTGACCAATTTTGTGGTATTGCCAAACAGCTTGTATGAAAATTATATAACTTTGCTTTGAAACTTTAATTATAGCAGTTGCTATGCTGCGAAGAAAGATATCTTACCACTACGATTACATTTCAAATATATAATTTCAATAACCTCTTCACACAACCCATTCTCATTCATAACAATAATTTTTTTCTCTTGCTTTCCACAAGTTTGGACATATTCAACGTTCTGGGAAATATGAAGGTTATTTAAAAATATATGGAATTCTAAAAATAAATAGGATAAAATTAGTAAAATTGAAAATTACATATCCATCTTAATTTTAATATTACCAAATAGGTATCTACTAAAATACGTACTACGTACCTTCAATATTAGGGAAATGTAACTCTTCAGTTTCCATTTTTAAATTATGTACTGTACATAAATGAGTTATTAAATCCTTATTAGACCTAAAAGAAATATTACACCCTTCTAAGCACTGAAAGGATTTTTCATCCTTTTCATATACTAAAATAGCATTATCTTTATGCACCATCTTTAAATGTTTATTCAAATTTCCTATATTGGAAAATGTTTTCAAACACTTGTTGCAAGTATTCATGATTTTACAATTCATCAATAAGTAACAACAATCTAAATCAAAGAGAAATTAAAATTTTAATTGTCAAAGCTGATAAAGTAAATAATCGCCCTCATAGACAAATCGTCCTTTATCGGTCTTCAACGAATCAAAATAGGCGGCAAATCTTCTAAAATATAACCTCCAAAACTAATGACAGTAATGACAATTGACGCAGATTGACATGTAATATTGCAATATGGCAACATCGATGGAATCTCTTCTGTTTTGAGATGCTTGTGCTAACCCAACCGACGCGACGCTTCATGAAGTTACTAGGATCTTCACGAAAAAACAGAATACACTATGTGACTACGACAACTATATAAATTAGTCGTTTAGGTTATACAGATTTTTTTGACAGGCAGTTTTTTTCTCCCAAAAATTTTAAATATTTTTTTTTCTAAAAAACGGTTAATGTTAGGTATAGAGTGTTTGGTATCAAAATTCATTAAATTTTACAGAGAATTTAAATATGTAATAAAAAATGAGGATACCAATTTAAAATAAGAGAGTTGCTGACAACTTCCGGTATTACCGGAAGTGCCGCCATATTGAAAATATTTTTAATCGATAGATCTCATTGTAAAACAGTAATGTGCAAAAAATCTCCAATCTAAATATTGTATTCTCTAGAAACTTCTAATGAACGCTCAGCCTGGGATACCCTGTATATAGCCTAGCTTACCCAAAAGTCAACCTCACCTTCACGTGGTGCACCCTGTTTACACAAACGAGGCTGTGAGACTTCCGAGTTAGGCGGTTTGACCTTATACAACCCCAGACCTGTTATCTTTCTAGGGAAGTGGAGTAGTAGACTATTCCTAGCCGATCAAGAATGTAGCACAAGTGAACTATCGTCTCAGTCCTCACTGTGCCATAGTCATCCCATACTACAGTTGCAGCCAAACTGTACGGTTGCGTAACCGCCTCATTTGAACCTTTTTACGCAGCTCACACTCCAAAGATGGAACATTTAAGTAGGACAAAATCATCGTCATGAGGTAAAATACTCCCTCGATCAGATCTCCGGGAGGGAGTGCCTACTCGAACGTATCATCAGAGAACTAAGCATCATCAATGTGTCACGTTTGCGGCGTCGAACGTCCGCACTCTACTGGACAGGACAAACCCCAATCGACCAGAGAGAAGTATGGCACTGGTCTCACAGTAACTCCACCGGCTAAATAAGCGAACCCTCTTTGGGGATGAAGGTAGCTTCACTGAGGAGCATTACACCTTCTTTTGGAAGGGTCAACCTGCAACACACAGTAGAATTCATGACGTAGGCATTGCAATCAAAAACGAATTGCCACCAGTATAACAGAAGTACCCATAGGAGTCTCCGAACGTCTTATAACCTTAAGGTACCTCATATCAGATAAAACTTACGTCAACATCATTAGTGCCTACGCTCTTACCCTGGACGCTAAAATTGAGGATAAGGATACATTTTACCAAGCTCTACAAAATGCTCTCCAACACATTCCAAAGCAGGAGCGAATCTCTTGCTAGGTGAGTTTAATGCCCGCGTCGTCAATCAGCAAGAAATATGGCCTGACGTATTGGGAAAACATGGAATGGGAAATGTAAATAGCAATGGTGAACGCTTACTAACAATATGCACAGAGTACAATGTCAACGGAACCTGGAAACATCCCAGATAACGCCACTGGCATCAATTGGATTCAAACCAAACGTAATCGTTCGAAGGGCGCATCTAAAAGATGTCAGACTCATAAAAGGCAGAATGGATGCCGAATATAGTACTGACGACCGACTTGTAATTTCAAAAATGATAACGTATGGAGTCTAGCGAACAACAATACCGCCAACGCCCTTCGGGGGGTCATCAAAGAAGCACTTCCACCGATAACGTCAATCTCGGAAGCTGAACAAGATTGGACACAATTGAGGGATGCAATTTATAATACCAGTGAAGCAGTACTGGGAAAATCCAAGAAAAAGAAACAACCAGACTGGTTTAAAGAAAATCAACCGCATATACAGGCTTAGTTGGAACAAAATCATAGAGCACATCAAGCAGTCACTGCAAATCCACACAATCCTTGTGGACAAGCTTGTGGATAGCTTTAAAGCAGCGAACAATCAGAGCTGCAACAAGTCAGTTTTAAAAAGACATAAGTCTTAAGTCATTTCTGAAATCAAAATGATTTAAGTTTTAAGTCAAATTCAACATAAAGTTCAAATGATTTAAGTCTTAAGTTTTTGACTTACATCAATTTATTTCAAGTCGAGTCATTTTCGTGAAGACTTAAACCAATATAATCTAATTTAAATCCTTTTTATGACTTAAGTCTATATTTTTTATTTAAATCATGATGATCTTTGAGTTAAGTCGGTAAAATGATTTAAATCACATAAAATAACTACAAACACAAAAATATTTTTTTTTATAAAATTTGACCTATTATTACCATTACAGTTTAGATGTCATCGAATAATGTCTATTAAAAAGTGGTGATGTGTTTTGATCAATATGTCGATGGCATAAGCTAAGGACTATTTAAAGAAATAGTAGAAACTAAAACTAAAGAGTTCGTCTTTCTGGCTACATAACGAAGTCGGGGATTCACTTGAAAGACAACATGGTAACAGACTCAGGGTAAATCCGTACCATCCTAGAAAAAGCGGAACGGCGTATCAGCGCAACGACCTTGAATAGATTTCCAGTAATTCTATTGGTCGAAATTTTTTACAGATGAATTTTCGACAAATTTCAGCCAATAGAATTTCTGGAAATCGATTCAAGGTCGTTAGCCGATACGCCGTTCCGCATTTTCTAGGATGATATGCATCCTGAGGGTGCATCCACATCATTACAATGTGGATGTGGATGATGTGGCCTACAACCCTCACTACGCACGCGTAACATGACAAATAATTAAAACCGGTTCCGAAGAAGTAACATTTTATTTGCTAGTGGTATTGAGCATTTTTTTTATTCTGCTGTTTGACTGCCGCCTATAAGTCTAAGATTATTTGACTGCTTGGCTGCCGCCCTCGGAATAAAGATTTAAATCACAAATCATTTTGAAAAAGACTTAAATGTTAAGTCTTAAGTCAGCTTTCAAAAAATGGCTTAAAATCAAATGATTTAAGTCATTAATAAGGTGGTTAAAATAATGTGGTTGGAATTCAAAATGTTCTACCTCTACCATCTCCTTGTGGTATTGTGTGTACTCCACACGCAATGTATTGCATTTTTTTAAATAACAAAAAAATGAATTAACAAAATTAAAAACGATTTTACTTTAGGGTGCATTCATACCATCGTAGGTAAAGCGGAACGCTGGACCGGCGTAACGATCTCCAGCAATTCTATTGGCTGAATTTTTGGACAGATGAATTTTCGAAAAATTTCAGCCAATAGAATTGCCGAATATCGATACGCCGATCCGCAGTTCCGCTTTTTCTAGGATGATGTGGATGCACCCTTATTTTAAAATTAAAATAGATTTGATATATTGTGAGTTATGTACCCTCTTAATGCCATAATCATGGCTTTGTACTATCCGCGTAATAAGCAACAACTGTTCTTTTTATTTAAGCATTGTTCCAGAGAATGACAGGATAATAATTGTTAATCCTTCGTAGATTTAAGACCAAATAGTTTGTAGTAAATTCGCAATATACTTTCGCCGAGAATAAATTTAGTTTTATTTTTTACTTAACTGACTTAACTGGCGCAGTCGGTAGGATTAGACAAAGTGCTAAAAATCTAGCAGTCGAATCAACCCTCTGTAAAGTTTCGGAACCGGACTTGATTAGTGCAAAAAGACGGAATTTAGTGCCCAAAATCGGCTTACATTTCGGACGTTTGCGCGAGGAAGTGTATCTGGTGCTGCATTTGAAACTTCGAGTGGAAATCCAGCAGGCAAAAATCTAGCATCGCTTGGAACCTGTGCGATGCCCAACAATAAGCAACGTAGAATATTCCTTTTTAACTGAGTGATATTTCTTAGTTTCGGATAAATGAATAGAAGCGGCACAAAACCTTGAGTTCTCACAGCACAAATAACGGCGATTTTTTTCCACGTTCCCAAGAATAAATAGTTTCAAATTGTTTCGTACATTTTGGTAGTCTCTGACTTCATTTGGGGTTGTAGAGCACCCTCTTTAGTCGACGTGATATATTAGATCAGTTTTAAAATTATATTTAGTTTGAATATGTTCTAAGTCGACTTGGTTAAAATTTACCTTTCGGTTTTGTTATAGAATGTAGAATGTTTAGGAGGGAAGTTAATCACCGCGACCTTATAGATCTATTGTGTGTTCCCCTTTCTTGAGTTATAACGAGTTATAACTCATCATACAGTCTCAGGGCTTTAAGAAAAGCCAGTATCTGAGACGGCTCCACAGAGGCCAGCTCTCCATCCTCGACATCAGACGTACCAAGATTCATGGCACGAATGGTCGTCGTCTCGGCGCACTCAGTGATAAGGTGTTCTGGTGTTTCCCCATTTTCCCCACAAAATCTGCATTCGCCGTTGTTTCTCAGTTTCAGTTTACTGAGGTGTTCGTTGAGGAGACAGTGTCCTTAGAAACCCCGTGACAATCAACTGAAGATTGTTTTTACTTAAATCAAGGAAAACCTTTGATTTTTTCTCGGTCATAAGTTCTAAGGAACCTTTTCGTGTGTCTAGACCGTTGGAGGACACCCATTTCAGTTACGGATGGAGTCTTCCAGATTATTCAGTTCGCTTTCAGCTGGTTCCCGTTTGGAGAACAGAACGGTTCTGGTCCAGTTAGTGGAGTGTCTGCTCCTTTTCTGGCCAGATCATTTGCTTTTTTCATTGCCTTCTAACCCTTGGTGAGCGAGCACCAGAGTAGGAGGACTTTACAGAGGAAGTTTCAAATAAATAGAATTTTATGGTGCTGGAAGCCTGATCTGAAAATTGCTTCCGTCAGTAACATTCTAAGAATTGTCGGCCCAGCAATCTCACGAACACAATGTGTGCGGGTGTTAGGCCCTAGAATGACTCACAAGCTGCTAGCCGGGATATGTTCTCTGCTAGCACTCCAGATAAGATATATGCTGTCTCTCAAATCGGAGTATTTAGTTTTCGGCCCAAATACTCCTATCCCTGTCCCTGCTTTGGTTGTGGAAGCATCAGTATACCACATTATGGTATGGTCTTTTACATGCTGAGGAAGCGTTTCTTCCTTCCATTCCTTTTTGTTACTCAATACTACAGTGAGGTGTTTCTCAAAGTTGTAAATTCTTGGTATGTCATCCACTGGGAGTTGGAGAAGTGGAATTTTCCTTTTGAGGGTGTTCCAAGCCCCTGACCTGACAATTCTCCCAATACTATTTCCGTCAATGACCATTCTTGACCATCATTGTCGCAATGGTATATTTACCGACGACAATGTTCATTGGTGTTAGGTCTAGAATGACCTCCATTGCTGCTGTTGGGCATGTGCTTATGGCACCTGTGATGCAAATGCATGCCAGTCTCTGTCCTTTGCACAGGTTTTGCAAAGTACATTGTTCTAGTTTTGTGTGCCAAGCAGCTGCTCCATAGCTAATCATGGGTCTGACTATCATGGCATACATCCAACGCAAAATGTTAGAAG